GTTGGTCAGAAATGCCATGGGCTCTGTGGTATAGCGTTTTGATGAGAGAATTCTTTTGAAATGGGTGGTGGGGCGAATCCGGTTTCAAGTAGGAATCTTTCGATTTAAAGCTTTCGTGACTGCAGGGATTCATCTTCTTGGTTCTTTCGGTAAAGTCACGTAGAAGGGGAGTAATAAAATAATAAAAATAAAACATAATAAAACAATTCTCACGACGTTTCGGCCACAACGCAAGCAGCCGTCCTCAGGTGAAAACCAGGTCCGTCGAGGCGACAGAGTCTGAATGAAACAGCACACGGGCTTAGAGCATATATATAAGCTGGGCGCATTGACAAAGGAATTTGCATATCAACAGGAATTTAGCATATTTATGGGAAATGCAGGAATGTAATTAGTACTGCATATGCATGTGCATTATGCAGGATTAACAGCATCAAAGGGAGCTGCAGTTACTGCTGCTGCAGCAGTTGCTGCTGCTGCTGCAGTTTCTGCTGCTGCTGCAGTTGCTGCTGCTGCTGCAGTTGCTGCTGCTGCACTTGCTGCTGCTGCTGCACTTGTGCAGCAGCAGCAGCAAGTGCAGCAGCAGCAAGTGCAGCAGCAGCAGCAAGTGCAGCAGCAGCAAGTGCAGCAGCAGCAAGTGCAGCAGCAGCAGCAACTGCAGCAGCAGCAGCAACTGCAGCAGCAGCAGAAACTGCAGCAGCAGCAGCAACTGCTGCAGTAGCAGTAACTGCAGCTCCCTTTGATGCTGTTAATCCTGCATAATGCACATGCATATGCAGTACTAATTACATTCCTGCATTTCCCATAAATATGCTAAATTCCTGTTGATATGCAAATTCCTTTGTCAATGCGCCCAGCTTATATATATGCTCTAAGCCCGTGTGCTGTTTCATTCAGACTCTGTCGCCTCGACGGACCTGGTTTTCACCTGAGGACGGCTGCTTGCGTTGTGGCCGAAACGTCGTGAGAATTGTTTTATTATGTTTTATTTTTATTATTTTATTACTCCCCTTCTACGTGACTTTACCGAAAGAACCAAGAAGAAGTAGGAATCTGTGTGGGTGGCTTTCCTGTAGACAGAATGTCCCACGGATCCGTCAGGCCTCCTCTCAAACAGAATATCCAAGAATGGTAGTTTACCGTCTTTCTCCACTTCCATGGTGAATCTGATGGATGGGTGTCTAGAATTGATGTGGTCCAAGAAGTGGTTCAATGCTGGGAGGCCATGTGGCCAGATGACGAAAGTGTCATCCACATACCTCTTCCACAGGGAAGGACGCAGGGTGGATGTCTGGATGGCGTCTGATTCAAACTTTCCCATGAACATGTTGGCTATAACTGGTGACAAGGGGGAGCCCATAGGGGTACCCTCATTCTGTTTGTAGAAGGTGCCATTCCAGGTAAAATAGGTGTTGGTGAGGCAATGCCTAACCAGCGCAGGTACATCAGAATTCAATCCATGTTGGACTAAGTCCTCAATTATTGTTAGGGTGTCCGGTACTGGGACTTTGGTGAACAAAGATACTACATCAAAGCTGACGAGGATGTCATCAGGAGATAGTACCATGTCCTTAACCATAGAGACTAATTGGGTTGAGTTGAGTACTGCCGAAGAGGTCTTGCCTGTGAAGGGGAGCAGAGTATCTGATAGAAAACGGGCTAGTTTGTACGTAGGAGAGTTTATCATCGACACGATGGGTAGTAGCGGCGTGCCTTCTTTATGGATTTTGGGAAGACCATAGAGTCTGGGAGGTCTAGCCGCCGATGGTTTTAGAGAGGGACGTTTGCTTGGTTCGATTAGGGAAGTCGAACTCGTGATGATACTGTTTCTCAGATTGATGTAGCCCTCAGAGGCATAGGACACATCCATGCAGATGTAGCAAGAGCTGAAATAGCTACTATTCTTAAGAATGCTAAGAAACCCACTAGTAACATCAGCAAAAACGAACGCTCTGAACTTGCGGACCTAAAAAAGAGAGATGATATAGTCATCCTCTCGGCAGACAAGGGCACGGTCATCATGGATAAAGATTCATACAACAACAAAATCCTGGACCTTAATGATGGGAGTTACTCCAAAATTAAAAACGATCCCACTAAAAGCCTAACGACAAAAACCAACAGTATGGGCTCCCCCTTGTCACCAGTTATAGCCAACATGTTCATGGAAAAGTTTGAATCAGACGCCATCCAGACATCCACCCAGCGTCCTTCTCTGTGGAAGAGGTATGTGGATGACACTTTCGTCATCTGGCCACATGGCCTCCCAGCATTGAACCACTTCTTGGACCACATCAATTCTAGACACCCATCCATCAGATTCACCATGGAAGTGGAGAAAGACGGTAAACTACCATTCTTGGATATTCTGTTTGAGAGGAGGCCTGACGGATCCTTGGGACATTCTGTCTACAGGAAAGCCACCCACACAGATTCCTACTTGAAACCGGATTCCCACCACCACCCATCTCAAAAGAATTCTCTCATCAAAACGCTATACTACAGAGCCCATGGCATTTCTGACCAACACCACCTGGCCGGTGAATTAAGACATGTACATCGGGCCCTCAGGATGACCGGATACTCTGACCGCACTATCCGCCAAGCTGTTTCTCCCACCACACAGAAACAGCCACATGAAACTCCGACCAAAACTATCACGTTACCATACATAGCAGGCGTGACCAAAAAGATCTCCAAAATTCTAAACAAACATAAGATCCAAGTCCGATTCAGTGAAGTGCATAAAATCCGTGATCTGATTCCATCTGTGAAGGATGTCGTTCCTGACTTACAGTATCCTGGAGTTTACAAATTGAGTTGCATTTGTGGTGATTGCTACATTGGAGAAACGAAACGTCATGTTTCTGATCGTGTCCACGAGCACAAGTCAGATCTGAAACACGGCAGAACTGATTCTTCGGCCGTTGCCGATCATTGCTACAACTCGGTGGGCTCTCATGAAATTGTCTTTTCCGAGACCAAGGTTCTCTGCAAACCTCCTGGCTACCATCAAAGGTTTGTACACGAAGCCATACAAATATACAAACACAGACATAATTTCAACCGTGATGATGGTTACAAACTGAGTAATCATTGGAAAGATGTGATTAACCATGCAAAAAAGATTTAACTACACTTATTTGGCCAATCTTATTTGACAGACAACTATTACAGGTTTACCATGTTTAGTTGTTGTCTCCTTGTCACAGGTTGAGTCACAAACCGTACCTCTCCATAACAAAGGCTCACCCTCTTAAGCCTCACCTTACCATATTAAGAATAAGTATAACCCGTAAAAACAAAGTTTTTCACTATAAATCCTTTATATGCATGGCAGCGAACTTAATATAAAGGATTTAAAAATATATTCGCCTGTGGAGGACGCGGGGATCGATCCCGCGACCTTTGGCATGGGAAGCAAGGGCGCTACCAACTGCGCTACTCCGCCACGGCCTGTGGAGGGGTTACGCTCTGGGCTCTTATACTGTGACGTTCAGCCAAAGCCAAGAATGAGTTCTTTTGAATATATGTAAAATATTATTTTTTTGCCTAAAAAGTGTAAAATTTTGCGAATTTTTTTTCACGAACATTAATTGTCTGGCACAACGAGTCTGTGTGGAAAATGTCAGCTCGATTGGATCATGGGAAGTGGGTTAAAAAACGACCGAAAGATTTACACGGTCCTAAGCAAGCAAGCAAGCACGCAAGCAAGCGAACTTAATATAAAGGATTTAATAAAAAACAACCGAAAGATTTGCACGGTCCTAAGCAAGCAAGCAAGCAAGCACGCAAGCAAGCGAACTTAATATAAAGGATTTAAAAAGTGTGCTGTACTTGGCCCTTCCCCCCCCTCTCTCCAACCATTATATAAACGGAGTGGTAGCTCCTGCAATTTCTCATTTACTTGATACAGCTGTCGTGGCTGTGACGGTTCCACCTGAAGACGGAAGCTTGTGTTGCCTCCGAAACGTCGTGATTTTTTATTTATTTTACTTTTATTAATTTTAATGTTTTACCTACGTGACTTTACCGAAAAAACCTAATAATAAGAGGTTTCTTTTTTGGGTTAGATCGCATAAATATATAAATGTGTCGTTAAAACCCACCACCACCCGACACAGCCAACTAGTAAGGGTTGTCACGTACGCAGAACATGCCAATTTGTAACTAGTACAACTCACGGTGTGTTGGAGAGTCAAGCCACAACATTTACAATCTGAGTACGACGTTTCGCCAGTAATTACAACTAGCTTCATCAGGCAACAGCCAGATTTGTGGAGACATTCACTTGTTTCGTTCCTTATATAGAGGCGTAGATGTGGTGCCTGTTTTTATCATTTGCCTGTTATCATTCGCCTGTTATTAAGTTAAAGTAGAAATTGTTATTATTGTTGTAATCACGTTATCAGTATAGAAATAATTGTTATTATGTTAAAAGTAGAAATAATTATTGTTATCAAGTTCTAAGTGGAAATAATAATTACTGTTCTCATTCGCCTGTCGTTATCATTTGCCTGTTGTTATTTTTCGCCTATTGTTATCAAGTTAGAAGTAGAAAGTTATTATTATTGTTATCATCCACCTGGTGTTGGTACTGCACGTCTCTAATCCAGCACTGTGGAAGGTAGCGAGGGCTGGTGAATCACCGCACAATGATGTTGGCAAATCCCCTTCCCGTGGGCGTCGAGGTGCCATAACCTGACTCGCCAGGAGAAGGCAGTAGAGCAAGTGGACTAATCGCCATCTTCACCTGTACAGGGATAGAGTGTTTCACCCTCGCACGCATGGGTTTTCTCCGGGTACTCCGGTTTCCCCCACTGGTATAAACACTCGTCATTAATTAGTGCATAATGCCTCCATAGAGGACCGCAGAGCTTGGACAATTGTTGGTACTGGCTCACCACGTGGCTTCCTTCCTGCACGGCTGTGGTTCCTCATGCCTCTGAGTCGTTCTTGTGCGCGCTATAAAACTTTTAATTATTACTATTATTCGCCAGGCGGTGGTGTTGCAAGCCTGTGATCCAGCAGTGGAAGGCAGCAAGGGTGAGTGGATCACACAGTGAATGTTGTGAAACCCCCTTCCCGTGGGCATCCAGGTGCCTTCTCCTGGCTGGCTGGCCAGGAGAAGGCAGTACAGAAAGTGGGATAATCGCCATCTTTGCCTATACCAGGGGTCCTCAAACTACGGCCCGCGGGCCACATGCGGCCCGCCGAGGACATTTATCCGGCCCGCCGTGTGTTTTTGCCGCGGCTGCCTGTCTGTTACTTTTTTTCTGCATGAGAAGGACGGTCATTGGTGGAAGAGTGAGAGGGGGCGGAGTTCCCCCCAATCAGACTGCATTGATGGGCAGTGCAGTCTGTATGTCTCTGTGTGGGCAAAGTTATTGCTGGTATATTGTTTTTGTAGCGCTGTATATATATTGGTATTTTACTAATAGCAACTTTGACTCCCTAGGAAACAATGATGTCAAGAAAGAGAAAAAATTACTCGGAGTGTAGGATATTCAAAGAACAGTGGACTTATGATTACTTTTTCATGCAGTACAAGGAAAGAGCTGTGTCTGATATGCCAGAATATAGTGTCTGTGTTCAAAGAATACAATTTACGTCGACACTATGAAACTCAACATAAAGATAAATATGATTGTTTGGTCGGAGAAGTGAGAAAAGATAAAATATTAAAACTGAAAAATACATTAACAACTCAGCAAAATACTTTTGTGAAGCAGAAGCAGCTAAATATTTCATCACTGCGAGCAAGTTTTCAAGTTGCCAAGCTAATAGCGTGCACTCGCAGACCATTCGTGGAGGGAGAATTTGTTAAAGAATGCCTTCTTTCTGTTGCCAAAGAGATGTGTCCAGAGAAGGCCGATTTATTTAGTACAGTGAGTCTTTCAGGACCTACAATTACACGGAGGATTGAAGAAATGGGAGACAATTTGCATCAGCATTTGCAAAACTCCACAAAAAAACTTTCCTATTTTTCGTTGGCACTCGACGAAAGCAATGATGTTCGTGATTCTGCACAACTTCTAATTTTTATTCCTGGGACGAATGACTATTTCGAAGTCACAGAAGAGCTTGCTGCACTGCAAAGCATCAAAGGAACAACTACAGGAGAGGATATCTATGAAAAGGTTTGCCAAACTTTGAATTGTTTGGAGCTGAACTGGGCTAAACTAGCCAGTGTGACAACTGATGGTGCTCCTAGCATGGTGGGGTCTAAGAAAGGAGTAATTGCTCGCATTAACCAAGAGATGGACAAACATAACCATTCTCATCCAATAGCCATACACTGCCTCATCCACCAACAAGCGCTGTGTAGTAAATCACTGAAGTGGGACTCTGTTATGAAAATTGTGGTATCTTGTGTTAACTTCATTAGAGCTCATGCACTAAACCACAGACAATTTCAGGAATTTCTGTCTGAGCTAAATGTTGACTATGAAGATGTTCTGTACCACACAGAAGTCCGTTGGCTGAGTCGAGGGAGAGTTTTGAAACGTTTCTATGACTTACTTCCACAGATTACAGCTTTTCTGCTTTCAAAAAACAAAGAAGTACCAGAGCTCAATGATGCAGAATGGAAATGGCACCTTGCCTTTCTGACAGATGTAACAGAGCTACTCAACAGTTTCAATGTGCAACTTCAAGGAAAGGGGAAGCTCATCTGTGATATGCAATCACATGTCAAAGCATTTGAAGTAAAATTAGGCCTCCTCATCAAACAAGTGAAGGAGGAAAACTTCTGCCATCTCCCCACAACTCAAAATCTGTTAGCAGAAAAACCATTGGTTGCATTCCCAAACAAAACATGTGTGGATTCATTGGAAAAAATGCAAAAGGAGTTCCAATTTAGATTTAAAGAGCTTCATCTCCATGAACAGGACATACAGCTTTTCCGTAACCCATTTTATATTGACATTGAAAATGTGGATACAATTTACCAAATGGAACTGGCTGAACTGCAGAATTGTGACTTTGAAAGACGCATTCAAGTCAAGCAGCCTTCATAATTTCTATGCATCTCTCCCCTCTGAGACATATCCTCATCTCAGGAACCATGCACTCAAAATGGCATCCATCTTTGGCAGCACTTATGTCTGTGAATAGACTTGTACCAGAATGAAACATTTGAAATCTCCAACCAGATCTAGACTAACGGATACACACTTGCATCACTTGTTACGACTAGCAGTGACAAATATGGAACCGGACATTGACCATCTCATTAGCCAAAAGCAGGGCCATAGTTCCCATTGAAATACTGGAAAGTTTGTTGATTTAACTTTACTTGTTCTTCATTTTAAATATTGTATTTGTTCCCGTTTTGTTTCTTCACTTCAAAATAAGATATATGCAGTGTGCATAGGAATTTGTTCATAGTTTTTTTAAACTATAGTCCGGCCCTCCAACAGGCCGAGGGACAGTGAACTGGCCCCCTGTTTAAAAAGTTTGAGGACCCCTGGCCTATACGGTTTAAAGTGCTGCCCCACGGGTTTTTTCCAGGTGCTCCGGTTTCCCCCACTTGTGTAAGAACTCATCATTCATTCGTCGAAAACTTAAAAAAAAAACTATTCAGGACCCGACTGTGACTCAGTGTGGTTTTCCTGGAGTAAGTCTATTTTATTATTATAAAGAATTAAAGGGGCTGTTTAATGACACGACTAGAGAGCTGGCTTGCACTGCGAGGAACTTAATATTCAACTTGAATTCCGCAACCCTCAATGGCCTTTTTAAGTTAAATTTGTGCATGTAAGACTCGCACAAACAACCATACCCAGAAACCCATAGACCCCAACAGAGACCCATATATTCCTACAAACACTCAGACTCACACAGCGACCCCATACTCACAGAGACCGATAGACATGCACAGAGACCCATAGCCTCACACAGAGATCCATACACTCAAAGGCCCAAAAACTCACACAGAAATCCATAGATTCGCACACAGAGATCAATAGATTTTTAATTTGAATATTTATTTATACTGGATGAATCTGATGAGCTATAACGATCTGTTTTCACAGACGTCCAATCGGGTGGGTCAGAAAATAACAACAAATATACAATACAAAAACATCACAGGAAAGGTAAACAAATTGTTTCGAAATATACTAATTAAACTGAACTCTTTTTATCTTACCATAGACTCATACAAACATGTTGGACTCGCACAGAGACCTTAACCACTAAACCTCGAACAATTAAAACCCTCTAAACCCCTAACTATCTAAATCCATAACCATCTAAACCGCTAACCCTCTCAACCCATTTACCCTTACAACCCTAATCTTTAAACCCCTCGCCCTCTAAAAGCTTAACCTCTAAACCCCCAAAACACTAACCATCTCAACCCCTAACCCTCTAAATTCCTATACCCCGAACCCTCAACCCCTTTACCCTTAAAACCCTAACCCACCAAAACCCTCACTCTCTAAACCCCTTATTCTTTTAACCCTAACCGTCTAAGCCATTAAAAACCAAACCCTCTAAACCCTCTGAATCCCTAACCCTCTAATCATTGAAACCCTAACCTTCTAAAACCCTAAATCCCTAACATTCTAAATACCAACCAATCTAAACCACTACCCTCTAAAGAACTAACCCTCTAGACCCCTAACCCTCTGAACTCATAACCTCCTAAATCCTCAACCTCTAAAATCCTAACCCTCAAAACCCTAACGTTCTAAAAACCTAAATCTGTAACCTAATCCCAACACATTTAAACCCCAACCCTCTAAAGAACGAACCCTCTAGAAGCCTAACCCTTAAAACACCTATGCCCCTAAAATGCTAACCCTCTAAACACATAATCCACTACACCCGGAACCCTCTAAACCCATAAAGGTTTTTTTTTGTTAGATTATGTAAATATAAACATGTCGTTAAACCAACCACCACCCGAAACAGTCAATTAGTAAAATTTGTCACATCAACAAAAAGTGCCATTTAGTGTTGGAGACTAACCCAAAAAAACACTTTATTATGGACAATATTAGTTGTGAAAGTCTAGGTGTTAAACCCTCAACTCTCAAACCACTAAACCCCTAACACTGTAAATCACTAACCTTTGAAACCCCGATACCTCTAAACCCCTAAACCTTATAAACTCCTAACCCTCTAAACCACTACCCCTTTAACAATAAACCCCATAAAATATCTAAACACCTAATTCTCTAAACCGAGAATCCTTTAAACCCATATCCTTCTAAACTGTAACCCTCTAAAACCCAACCCTCAAAACCCCTTTACCCTTAAAACCATAACGGTCTAAACCCATCACCCTCTAAAATCCTAACCCATAAACCCCCAAACCTCTAACCCACTGAACCCTTAACCTAAACCCTTACAGCGAGGAAAAAAAAAGTATTTGATCCCCTGCTGATTTTGTACGTTTGCCCACTGACAAAGAAATTATCAGTCTATAATTTTAATAGGTTTATTTGAACAGTGAGAGACAGAATAACAACAACAAAATCCAGAAAAACGCATGTCAAAAATGTTATAGCTTGATTTGCATTTAATGAGGGAAATAAGTATTTGACCCCCTCTCAATCAGAAAGATTTCTGGCTCCCAGGTGTCTTTTATACAGGTAACGAGCTGAGATTAGGAGCACACTCTTAAAGGGAGTGCTCCTAATCTCAGCTTGTTACCTGTATAAAAGACACCTGTTCACAGAAGCAATCAATCAATCAGATTCCAAACTCTCCACCAAGGCCAAGACCAAAGAGCTCTCCAAGGATGTCAGGGACAAGATTGTAGACCTACACAAGGCTGGAATGGGCTACAAGACCATCGCCAAGCAGCTTAGTGAGAAGGTGACAACAGTTGGTGCGATTATTCGCAAATGGAAGAAACACAAAATAACTGTCAATCTCCCTTGGCCTGGGGCTCCATGCAATATCTCACCTCGTGGAGAACGGTGATGAAATCAGCCCAGAATTACACAGGAGGATCTTGTCAATGATCTCAAGGCAGCTAGGACCATAGTCATCAAGAAAACAGTTGGTAACACACTATGCCGTGATGGACTGAAATCCTGCAGCGCCCGCAAGGTCCCCCTGCTCAAGAAAGCATATATACATGCCCGTCTGAAGTTTGCCAATGAACATCTGAATGATTCAGAGGACAACTGGGTGAAGGTGCTGTGGTCAGATGAGACGAAAATGAAGTTCTTTGGCATCAACTCAACTCCTCGCCATGTTTAGAGGAGGAGGAATGCTGCCTATGACCCCAAGAACACCATCCCCACCGTCAAACATGGAGGTGGAAACATTATTCTTTGGGGGTGTTTTTCTGCTAAGGGGACAGGACAACTTCACCGCATCAAAGGGACGATGGACGGGGCCATGTCCCGTCAAATATTGGGTGAGAACCTCCTTCCCTCAGCCAGGGCATTGAAAATGGGTCGTGGATGGGTATTCCAGCATGACAGTGACCCAAAACACACGGCCAAGGCAACAAAGGAGTGGCTCAAGAAGAAGCACATTAAGGTCCTGGACTGGCCTATCCAGTCTCCAAACATTAATCCCATAGAAAATCTGTGGAGGGAGCAGAAGGTTTGAGCTGCCAAACGTCAGCCTTGAAACCTTAATGACTTGGAGAATATCTGCAAATAGGAGTGGGACAAAATCCCTCCTGAGATGTGTGCAAACCTGGTGGCCAACTACAAGAAACGTCTGACCTCTGATTGCCAACAAGGATTTTGCCACCAAGCACTAAGTCATGTTTTGCAGAGGGGTCAAATACTTATTTCCATTATTAAAATGCAAATGAAGTTATAACATTTATGACGTGCGTTTTTCTGGATTTTGTTGTTATTCTGTCTTTCACTGTTCAAATAAACCTACCATTAAAATTATAGACTGATCATTTCTTTGGCAGTGGGCAAACATACAAAATCATCAGGGGATCAAATACTTTTTTCCCTCACTCTAAACCCAAAACCCTATAAACCCCTAACCCTCTAAACCCCTTTACCATCTAAACTCCTTTACCCTTAAACCCCTTTACCCTGAAAACCCTAACCCTCTAAAACCCCGTACCCCAAATAGCCTAATCCTCTAAACACCTAACCCTCTAAACCCCAACCCTCTAAACCCCTAACTCTCGAATCCCCTCAACCCCTAAACCCTATAACCCTCGAAATCCCTAAACCTCTAAACCCCTAATCCCTGAAATAACCTGAAACCTCTAAACCCTTAACTTTATAAATCCCTAACCCTCTAAACCCCTAACCCTTTGTGTGGAATGTGGTGGGGGTGGGATCATGGGGTGGGTGGGTGCAGGGTGTGTGTGGTGTGCGGTGGGTGGTGGGTATCACAGGGGGGTGAATGGGTGCAGGGTGTGTGTGGTGGGTATGGTGATAGTGGTTGTGGTTCACAACGATCCGTAACCACCACCACCTCTACTGTGTGGTGGACCGGCCACCACACAGCAGCACGCGTCGGAGGAGTGAACGGATGGTTCTCCCTATGCGGGCCAGACTCCCTCGCTTCCTCTTCTCCTCCTGCATCATCATCACCTGATCCTCTTTCCTTGTCATCTCTTTCTCCACCATCTTCTCCACCAATGTCTCCTCCACCTGCACCACCATCTCATCCTCCTGCTCCTTCATCCATACCTCCTCTGTCTCCCCCCTCATCTCCTCTTCCGGGGGTGGAGAGTCCCCGAGGTGGGTATAAAAGACGGACCCCAGGACGGCCTGAGGCAGTGCTCTGAAGACTGAAGACCGGCTAGGCTGGGACCCTGGGACCCCGGGACCCTGGGACACGACGTCCTTTTAAGCGGCGGGGCCGAGCACGGACCAGTGGTCGAGACCCGCACCTTGGCTGGGTCGGGTCAGCATAGCCTCCCCTAGGCCACCCTTAGTCGGAGGACTCAGAGCCCGTAGCCCCAGTGATAGGGCACGTTAGCCCGGAGGCCATACCTCCCCAAGTAGTGGGAGTAAAAGGGGCTTATGTTATAAGATTTAAATAAACCGTGTTGCCTCTAAGCTATGTCTCCAGTCTCCGTGGGAACCCACTACATATACACAAGAAATGCTGTTCTACACATAACGGCCATGCCACGTTTCAGTTCAAAGTAACGCTGCAGTACGTGCACAGGCTATGCTCCTTTACTCTGTATTATACGGCACACACTTTCATGGTGTTGTGTACACGGTATATGATGCGTTACACATAGGCCGTGCTGTATTATAAACTCCGTTCAAAGTATCAGTTTATATGTAGCCAATGCCACTGTACAAAGACAAAGATCCCCCTCATAGCTTTAACAGATTTTTGAGGCAAGTGGTGTTAGTGAGCGCCTAATGAGGACTGGCACAGTACACAGGGGAGTGGGTGGCCAACACCACGCCCAGCCGCATTTGTCTCCCTCGTGGTGATGTGTACACACTGCATCAGGTACTCATTTGAGGTTGAGTCGACCAAGGGGAGGCCCAGGACCGGTTCAGATATTTCCCACTTTTATACCGGTAGGAACAACAGGTTCCACACTGCCCACCAGGGATTATTTGTCTGTCGTGCATGGGGAGGGGAGGGTGGGGGTGGGAGGGGTGGGGCTGGGTGGAGAGGGGAGGGTGGGGAGGGGCTGGGGGAGGGTGGGGAGGGGCTGGGGGAGGAGGGGAGGGGCTGGGTGGGGAGGGTGGGGCTGGGTGGGAGGGGTGGGGCTGGGTGTGGAGGGGCTGGTCACCCCGTGGTGCCCTTATAAAACTCAACGTTTAACCTACACACTACACTATACACGACACGATACACTACACTTATACAAGTGTAGTGAGTTATCAGGGAGACAGACGACGTAGTTGAGGCACACTCTTTTATTTAACCAAAAGGCGGTAACATTACTTGAAGGGGTAACGGCGCCTTCACCCGTACTCAATGGGAAACACCCCTAGTACTATCCCCTGACTTCTCCTATTCCCAGTCCTCCGCTATGAGTGCTAGGGGAGGCTATCTGATCCGGCCCTGGTCAAGCACGGATCCCGGCACCCAGCTAACCAGGCCGTGCTCTTACAAGAGCAGCGGTCCTGGAGCTCTTGGGGCCGCGCCACTTGCCCTGCTCGGCCCTGACAAGGACAGCGAGCCAGGGGAGTTCCAGGGCCTATTCTGCCGGTCTTCAGTCTTCAATGGTAAGCTTCTCACACATTGGCCTCGAGCCCTCTGGCTCCCCGCCTTTTATAAGAATCCTCTCCGAGGGGTGGGGCTATGGGGGATCACAGCACCCCCATGCCCCCCCAGGGTTAACTGATGGTGGGGGGGGGAGTGCAATCTCTGCTGTAGCAGGAAGTTGGAACGGTGTCGTGCGCATCTCTTTACAGAGCGGAGGCGGCGCTGCCCCCATCCTCCGCGCTTGCCCAGGCCTAAATGGCTGACGGTTGTTGTGGAGGAAGAGGAGACTCCGGTGGAGGAGCTGTTGGTGCAGGAGGAGGAGACCCTGGTGGAGGAGCTGGTGGTGCAGGAGGAGGAGATCCTGGTGGAGGAGCTGGTGGTGCAGGAGGAGGAGACCCTGTTGGAGGAGCTGGTGGTGCAGGAGGAGGAGACCCTGGTGGAGGAGCTGGTGGTGCAGAAGGAGGAGACCCTGGTGGAGGAGCTGGTGGTGCAGGAGGAGGAGACCCTGGTGGAGGAGCTGGTGGTGCAGGAGGAGGAGACCTTGGTGGAGGAGCTGGTGGTGCAGGAGGAGGAGACCCTGGTGGAGGAGCTGGTGGTGCAGGAGGAGGAGACCTTGGTGGAGGAGCTGGTGGTGCAGGAGGAGGAGACCCTGGTGCAAGAGCTGGTGGTGCAGGAAGAAGAGGAGATGAGGGGGGAGACAGAGGAGGTATGGACGAAGGAGCAGGAGGATGAGATGGTGGTGCAGGTGGAGGAGACATTGGTGGAGAAGATGGTGGAGAAAGAGATGACAAGGAAAGAGGATCAGGTGATGATGCAGGAGGAGAAGAGGAAGCGAGGGAGTCTGGCCCGCATAGGAAGAACCATCCGTTCACTCCTCCGACTCGTGCTGCTGTGTGGTAGCCGGTCCACCACACAGTAGAGGTGGCTCTGGAATAACCCCCCAACCCCTCACCTGGGGTCGGGGGGGGAACTCGGCCTCTCAACGGTCCCGGTTCTCTCTCTAACTCAGGGTGGCACCCCCTGTCGACTCGTGCCCGCAACTACAGGTGGTGTGTGCTTTGCATTTCCGACGCTATATATACAGCAAGAAATACTCTACATATGTAATAACAGCCATAGAGGGTTCACGTGGGGATTGGCTTGCCGGTCCTGCTTTGTAGCCAATAAGGGTTGAGATAGGGAGCATGACCCCGGCGTGATCACGGCATGTCATCAGGAGTGATTGGCCTAGCCATTCGGGGCCCCAGCTAATGGGGAGCCGGATGAGAGGCGTGGTCCCGGGATTGACAGGGAACCATCGAGAATGGTCAAGGCTGTCCATGGAGGATTGGCTGGGGGGACCACGTGATGGAAGGATTAAGAGAGAGTGAGAGAGAACGATCGGGAGCAGACTGGGGAACGAACAGAGCCACGCGCGTACGGGGGCTCTGGGTGCCACGTGCGCGGTGGGAACTGGTGTGAAGTCTGCCCGCTCTCTGTTGTCTGCCAGCAACAGAGAGTGTGTGAGTAAAGTGTATTGTGGAAGTGAAAATAAAGAGGACCGATTCCGAAGCCGTCTCAGAAGGATTATTACACGTAGAGAGAGCATTGCATCTGTGTGTGTGTACTGCATGACACACGGTGTTCGGTGTGTAATGCACAGTGATGGGCTGCTGCTGCTGCACCTGTTGACGTTGATGTCGGGGCAGGCAGAGTCCTCGCTCCCGGTTCCGGTGGCGTTGCTCCGGGGGAACGTGCAGAAGAAGGCGTTGGCCAGGAGGCAGGCGGCCTGCGCCTGAGACATCGTCAGCATCAAGCCGGTGTCCCGGCGGAGCAGCGGCAGGGGCTGGGGACACGTGCGGTGCACAGGGCGCAGCGACGTTACACGCGGCAACGGGTGGCACGAGGTTGCAGAGGAGCAACGGCGTAATGGTAACACCGATGCAGAGCACTGATCCTGCACCACTGGGATGCTGGGGTCTGGATCAAGGAGTTCTGAAATGCACGTAAACCAGATTATTGTTGTGCACGTGAGGTTAATGGTGCAGCCCTGCAATTACTTGCTCATGCAACTGCTGGTGAAAGAACCCCCACTAGAGGGAGGTCTAGAGTGCCGATCCGGTGGGTATGTTTTGGCCAACTTTTCCACACTGACCATATGTCTTGAAAGAGGTGGGAGTACTCGCCATTTAGCCCATTGCACGCGACCCACTGATGGACTGTGGGTGGACAAAAACAGGGAATTGTAAGAATCCTGGTCAATGTTTTCAAGGCCAGGCTGGGAGATCGAACCGCGACATTTTAAGTCAATCGTGACAACCATTCCACAGTCATGGCAGCAGCCCTTTTGCAGAAATCAAATAAAATATTGGAGAGGGCTTCACACAAGAAACAAGAAGATTTAGTGGTTTGGATGTGGCTCTCCAATGAATACAGAGAGGGTACCACAAGTAGCGGTGCATACTCGGGCGCAAGGAAATAGAAGCAGAGACAAAGAATGAGATAGATCGATGCAATAAAGAATTGGCAGTGGTGCACCAAGCACGACCCCTTGCTGAGCGCTGCAGCAGCAGCCCCCCCCATCCCCGGACCCCTCCCCCCACCCTCCACTTCTCACCCTGACGCCACACAACCCGTGGGTAGGCGATGCCCTCTGGTGGACAAGGCGCGGTACAGGCGGCAGCACGAGACGCCAGCAGCGTTGCGCTGCCAGGGTTACTCACCCGAACACCTCCGTACACTTACACACCTACACACACCTCTATACACTTACACACACCTACACACACACCTCTACACACTTACACACCTGCACACACACACCTATACAACCACAACCGCCATTCGCCACTAAGTGGCGGTGACGTCACCACGACGCTTGTGCCAGGCCAAGTGCACCTTGAGGCCACGTGAAGTGTCGAACGCCCGCTGGCAGGAGGTCACGGGGCAGACCCAGCAGGTGCCACGGGTCGACTGACCGAGATGACCGAGATGACTGGGTGATGCACCACCTGTGCCCCCTACCGTACCAACTTGCTGTGCTTTAGCCACCCGGCGCTCCGCTCGTTGTTCTGAGCGTCGCTCCTCCGCCCTCCGTTGTTGTTGGAGGGCGACTGCCTCCAACTGCCCAGTAGCGTCCTTCACGAGCCTCCTCCACTGAGGCCGATCTTGACACTGCTGGTACCAGTCATCGGCAAGTCCACTCAGCTCCACGTCCTCCTGTACCACATCACTCCATCTCTTCTCTAGCCCGTGCCGCGCCCGTTTAGCCCCCTCGATCCGGCCGAACAAAAGCTGTTTAGGCATGCGGTAGCTGGGCATGCGGGCTACATGACCCAGCCAACGCAGCCTTGCCTGCCGGAGGAGCTCACCGATGGGACTTTGCCCAGATCTTTCAAGGATTTGTGAGCTCACACAATCCAGCCTTGTTAAACCCAGGATGGATCTTAGGCAGGCCAGCCTAAATGTTTCCCACCGGTGAAGATGCTCCATTAGGGGGGTCCACGTTTCGCAAGCGTAGAGAAGGGAGGGAATGACCGTGGCCGAGAAGACCTAAAGCTTCGTGCGGAGCTACAGATCAGGTAGCTTCCACACAGCGTTACGCAACCGATGAAAAGATAATGCCGCTCGACTGATTAGGAGTGAGACCTTGGCTGATAAACTGGAGCCGGTCATAAGCACATTGCCCAGGTATGAGAAACTCCACTCTCTCCACAACTGCCCCATCACCGATTGGGAGTTGTGGGGGTGGAGTGTCCGATGGTACAAAATACCCAGGCAGGTGCTTAGTTTTGGTGGGGCTGATGGTAAGGCCCCACCTCTTAGTGGCACGCTCCAGTCTCAGCAGCAGCGTCTCGAACTCCTCTTCTGAATGAGCAGCTATTACCAAATCATCGGCATACATAACGTGGTTGACCAATAGGGAGCCATCCCTTGATCACACCCGGGCGTCGATCAGCCTCCCATTATATCTGTACCAAATGGAAATGCCCCCGGTACAGCTATTGAAGGCTTCACGAACTACGCAGTCGAAATAGATGTTAAATAATGTGGGAGCCAGAGGACATCCCTGTCGCACCCCAAGGTGTACAGGGAAAGGCTCCGACTCCCGGCCACGTAGTTTTACCCAGGCCCGCTCACCATCATGAAGGTCCTTAATGATCGTGAGCAGAGGGTCAGGGACTCCGAAAGCACGAAGAACAACCCAGAGCCCAGGCCTACTGATGGTATCATAGGCCTTGACCAGGTCAATAAAGCAGAGATAAAGGTCTTGTTGGAATTCCCTACACCTCTGCTGTAGCAGATGGACAGAAAATATGGCATCTGTACAGGACCGCCCTTTCTTGAAACCGCATTGGGGTTCCGCAAGCCTCTCCTCAGCGTGCCTAGCAAGGCGATGTAGAATAATCCTTGCCAGGACCTTTCCCGGCACACTGAGGAGTGAGATGCCACTGTAGTTGTTACAGTCTGTGTGGTCCCCCTTCTTAAAGAGGGGGACCACCAGGGCATCCTTCCAATCCTGCGGTACCCGTCCAGCGGTCCAGACTGTTGTTATGATGTCATATAAGGCAATCTGTGCACAAGCGCCACCCTCCCTCAGCATTTCGCTTGGGAGATCATCTCTGCCCGGTGCCTTTCCTGGTCTCAGACTCCGGATCGCCTTCAGTACTTCCTCAACAGATGGCACCTCAGCCAGCCACTCACAGGGGGTGACTTCCTCCAATATTTGAGGCACCGCAGCCTCAGCAGGGTTATCCCCACTTTGTGCCATGATGTTTTCCTGGCTGAGAGATTTTCCCTCCCCCAGGACCTCACACATACCTATATACACTTACACACACACCTCTATACACTTACACACACACCTCTACACACCTACATACACCCCTCTATACACACCTCTATACACTTACAAAGAACCCCCGTATAGCCTTTAACAGACTGTTGGGGCAAGTGCTGTTAGCGAGCACCTATGAAGGCCGGAACGGTACACGAGGGGGTGGGTGGCCAGCACCACGCCCGACCGCCTTTGTCTCCCTAGTGACAATGTTTACACACCGCACCAGGTACTCATTTGAGGCTGAGTCGACCTAGGGGAGGCCCGGGACCAGTTCAGATAATCGTCACTGGTGTTGGCCGTGAGCGGGAATCGAACTCGTGTCGCCGGGTTCATAGCGCAGCGCGCTAACCGCTGCACTATCGCTCCCCACTTACACACACATACACACATACACACACCTCTACACACACACCTCTATACACTTACACACACCTCTACACACCTCTACACACCTCTATATACTTACACAAAGACAAAGATCCCCCGTATAGCCTGAACAGACTGTAGGGGCAAGTGCTGTTAGCGAGCACCTATGAAGGCCGGAACGGTACACGAGGGGGTGGGTGGCCAGCACCACGCCCGACCGCCTTTGTCTCCCTAGTGGCGATGTTTACACACCGCACCAGGTACTCATTTAAGGCTGAGTCGACCTAGGGGAGGCCCAGGACCGGTTCAGATAATCGTCACTGGTGTTAGTGTGGGGCCCGTTGGCCCCCGGGGTCCCTCCCGCCTGCATCCCCTATTCCGTTTACGTTACCCCACCTCCCTATTACTCGCTACGGTTTCGCCGGCATTCGAATGCGACGCCCCTACTGTTACAGCCTCGCGCCGCGCTCCCACGCTGCGAGCATACGTGCGCACATCATCGTCAATCAAACGCCGTGCTCGCAGTATAGCCCTGTGCGGCACGTTACCAATGCGCATCCGTATCCGACATGTAACGAACGTATGCACACACACACACGCCGCTCCGTGCACTCCAACTCCACACCAACTACGCAAGTTATGATCGCGCACCTGTATCACACACGGAGTGAACACACGCGACACCCACTCTTGCGCCGCTCTGCACAGCGCTCGCCGTCTGCTGGCCGCTTGCGTTATGATCGCGCACCTGGGGTACGCCTATTACGCACGCCGCGAGCTTACGCACACACAGTACCACACGCGTTCCCACACGCTCACACTGCACGACAAGATCACGCGAGACCACGCTTCGCTATTAATGATTTATTACCTGGTAACTGATGTTCAATCAGTGAGTCGACGAGGCGGGCCTATTCCACTAAACCGGCACCTATTCCCTATTTATCGGCTATGATTCTAATTCACCTTCTTACTCACTGTTAAGTGTCCACGGCGGTCCGCTGATCCTGGTGCTAACCGCGTGCCTCGGTGCGTCGCACGGACGTCCGGGTCGCTGGCTCGAGCTGCGTCTGGTCGCCTGGCGCTGGAGTAAGAGAGCGATTTCCCCTCTGCGCTCTATTTATCCTCCCTACCTCAAAGGGGATGCTGCGCTGAACAATGGGCTCGTGCACCCCAAGCCCGCGCACGGCGGTTCCCGGGCGCTGTTGATATGCTAATCAGTGAGCGACGTTGGCGGCGTACATCCTAATTACTCCCTTACCCTTCCTAACAATGGGGCCTGCGCGCTCAAGCGCAATTATCCCAACCCTCCATGACTATGCGCAACAGCCCCTGTGACCCCGCTATTCATGCTGTCCCGTGCTTC